GGCTGTCCTCTTCTACCTAGGACTTCTTAAACCTCAAAAGTTCACTCTTTGCTGTCAGACTCTGGACTGTCACACCTACCAAGTGGGAAAATAAGAAAAATACATGTTTTTATTGCTATACTTATTGTCAGTTTGGGGTTGGTTACCCTCAGCTATTTCCAGGGACAATAGGAATCACCTACTGAAAAGGGATGACTTGCCTTATTACCTTGTTTTCCAGTGCTGAACCTGGGGGCCTAACCAGGCCTGTCAGATTCTAGCTCTGCTCTTTCTGGTATCCCTCTCCATCAGCCTCCATCAACCTCCTCACTCAGTCAGGCCTCCCAACCCAAACCAGCAGTTAAGCAAATGCATCAGAAGAACTGTAAACACTGGCTCCAATGTAGATGACACTCCAGGATGTACATCTTCTAGAGACCTCACTGACATCCCTCATTCAGCCCATGGATCTCACTACTCCACATGGGGATGTCTGGTGCTTTTGCGACAAACCCCTGTAGCCAACCCTTTCCAATAGCTGCAATGGAACCTGTGCCCTAGTTCAATTGTTATGCCCTTTACAGTTGCTCAGAAGTCAGTCTCTCCCCTTGACCCTTCCCACGCAAGCAGGAAATGCTGCTTAATACATCAGTCCCCAGTACTTTGATCCCAGTACCTACTTGGATGCGATTGGGGCCCCACAAAGTTCCCCCAGTGAATTTAAAGTTTAAAACCAAGTGGCTGCAGGATTTCCAAATTCACTGTCCTGCTGGGTCACTAGCAACCAAATATTGATTAGATAAAGTGTGTTTACTATAATCAACACAGGTTTATATGTTATGCTCCATACGCTATTAAGGGAATAACTAAACAACTTAGGCCTGCCAACCAGATAACCTGGAAAAATAGCCTCACTCGATATGATTTTCACAGAAAAATGTGGCATCTGTGTTATGATAGGAATCCAATGCTGTACTTTTATCCCAAGCATCATTGCCCCTCATGGCACAATTACCAAGGCCCTCCAAGGCCTAACAACACTGTCAGAAAAACTAGCCCCAAATTCTAGAATTAATGACCCCTTTACCAGTTTGCCAAAACAATGGTTTGACAAATAAAAGGGCTTAAATTTCTCCACACTTACAATTTTCATTCTTATGTGTTGTTGTGTAATCTCCTCTGCATGGAGTTTAACTCAGAAATTAACTGAGACAGTTCTCCAGAGGAGACACCCCCAGGTAATCCAAGTCTGATGTATTTAAGCCCTGCCTACACTCAACAGTCCCTAATAGACTCAAATAATGATGCCACTCAAAGTCCCTGAGGAGAATTAAGACAGGCGAATGAAACAGAAATCCTGACCTAACTGTAGCCATTTTGTTCAATAAACTTGCAGCCATTCTGTTCTGTCACTGAACTCAGCTAAGTCATATGACTTGTCAAGAAATTGAAACTTCTGTGGATGTGCTAAAAAGAACTTTGCTATACACAACTGCTATATGCTCATCACAAGATACCCATTGTACCATAGCCTTCAGCAAAAGCTTGTCTCATTCCTGCAATTTCTGTTTGCCACTTTTTACATAAGCCAAGCTCTCTGTAATCAACACCTCAGACTTTGGAGATCACTCCTCTGGGATCCACTTGCATCAATAAAATTTTCTTTCTTCTTCTGACCTGTGTCTACTGATATGATCATACGGTTTTTTACCTTGCTCCTGTTTGTGTGATGTACTACATTTATTGATTACACATGCTGAACCATCCTTACATCTCTGTTTGACCATGATGTCTCTTGATGACCTTTATATATTATAATCATTGGGAGTTCTTGTAGTTTTGCTTGCTTGTATGTGGAACTCTTTTCTCATATTTGGAAGTTTTCTGCTGTGATTTCGGTAGACATAGTAATAATTCTATCTGTGTTATCCTCTAGCTTTTCTCTGGTTCCACTTAGCCTTATGTTTTTCTTTTCCTTGTCACTGAACAGCTCTTGGGTAGTTTTTCTTCCTGCTATCCTTAGTACTTCTTTATCATTCACCATTTTGTTCTGAATTTCATACACGCTTCATATTGCTCATTTCTGAAACATCAATTCTATACAGGTTTTATTTCAGATTTATCTGTCTGACATCATTTGAGGATGCTAAATCTTTGGTGAATTTGTCATTCATGATTTGAACTAATTTGGTCAACTCTTCCAATTTTTTACCTATGTCTCGCTTATCCACTTTGGACAGTTTGAGTGATATTCAGTGAACTTTTGGTTCATTTCCTCTTGGAGCTCATCTATTGTTTTCATCTTTTCTACAAACATTGCGTAGGGTTCTGCTACCTGGCACTTGCTTCCTCTCCAATTGTGTCCCTTTCATTTGCCTTAGGAGACTTAGAACACTTTCAGGATCTTCTGTTGTCTTGTCTTCGTATGTTCCTGTGAGGGTATATCCAGTTTTTTTTTAACTTTTTCTGGTCCCCAGGAAATCTAGATATTGGCATAGAGAGAAAAATCAGTTGTTATACATTACAACGTTAGTTTGGCTACATTACTAAGTTCAGTCCCCACAATGGCATCAAACTTCTACTGGATACTGACAAACCCTAGAAACTACTATGAATCCTGAACCAGAACTAAGAGGTTTATGATTTTAGTGGACTATAAGGCCACCCACATATTAGCCTATAAAACTTCAGACAACCAACTTTGTGCTGGTTGTAGGCAGCAGTGCCAGAGCTCCAAAATACCACTAGATGAGTGATGGGGAACTTTAAGAGACCGCGTGCCCAAACTGCAATCCAAAACCCACTTACAAAAAAAAAAAAAAAAAAAAAAAACCCACTTACATATCACAAAGTGCCACCACTACCCTTATGGGCACAGTTATCCCATGTTCACCTGCAGATGCAATGCTAGTGTGATTCATCTGCCAAAAGGGAGGGCTCTTTGGGCACATTTGTCACCACTGCACCAGACTAGCTACCTTGTCCTTCAAGATATCCCCTCTGAGGGATTCACCCTCCAAGGTCTCCCTCAATGGAATATAGAGCCTGTGAAATTCCTGCTCTGATCTTGAGCCTCCCAAGGAATCTCAAGACATCTCTCTTTAGCAGTCCCTCTTTCCAAGCCTGTCTCCCAAGATATTTTCTTACCTTTGTATTCTCTCACCTGTGTCTGTGGCACAGTAACCATTCAGTACTGAAGCAAAATTCTCCCTCTGGGTCTTGGTCTCTTCTTCAGTCAGGTGAGTCTGCTGACTGTCATTTATGCTGCCCTGTGCTGAGGAGACTCCAGGAGTAGGCCCCGGCAACATTGGCTGAGGGTGGGGTGATCAGGTCAGTTGCTCTGAGCTGGTCCTCCCTGGCAGGGCACATGCAGGCCTCTGGTGCTGGTGGTGGTAGTGGCTGGGGCAAGATACTCAGGCTTGCCTGTCCCACACTGGGTCTTCCCCTGGCCTAATGTGCACAGGACACTGGCAGTAGCAGTGGCAGCAGGTCGGTAAAGTCAGTCCTGGGCTGGGACCTCACCTCAACTTTAACCCTAACCCTAACTTGAACCTGTTGGGGGAACCTAAGCCTAAACCTAAACCAAACCTACAAATAACCCTAAATGTAAACTTAACCCTAATCATGGAACCTAGACCTAGTCCTAGCTTTCACCCTAGTCATGCCCTTTGCCTTATTCCTAACCTTAGCCCAAAGCCTAACCCTAAATATAGCCCTAAAACTAGTGGGACTCTAACCATAGCCCTAGCCCTAGCATTAAAAAGTGTAGCCATATCACTACCCCTAACCCTAACATAAATAAATCTGACTTACCTATGGTGGATCCCTAACTCTAAACATAAATCTAACCCTAACCATAGTGTAAACCTAGCCCTACCATAGCCAAATCCCCATTGTAAGCCCGAACTCTAGCCCCAGACCTGGACTTAGCTCTAATCTTAAACCTACCATAACCAAAAACACTAACCTTGTAACACTGGCCCTAGCCTTAGTACTAGCACTAGCCCTGAATCTAACCCTAACTTACCTTAACAACTCTAACCTTGGTGAAGATCTAATGGTAACTCTAACCCTAACCATAGACTTCAGGCTAACCCTATTTGAAGAAAGGCCCTACCCAAGCCCTAACCATAACCTTCAACATAAATCTAAGCTTAAGCCTAAATCTACGCCTACCCTCGGCAGAAACATAACCTGAAATGAAACACTAAAGCTGGTTCTACCCCTAACAGGAGCCTTATCACTAGACATTGGCTTAGGCATAGACCTAGCCATAACACTCACACTCACCCTGATCCTAAACAAAACCTGGAGGAACACTAACACTAATTCTAAACATAACCTAACCCTAGCCCTTATACAAACCCAGATGGAACACTAGCCCTAGCCCTTGCATAGCCGGAGCCCTAAACTTAACCCTAACCTTAGCCTTAAACTTTAAACTTAACCCTAACCATGCTGGAACACTAACCCTGCAATTCTGCTGAATCCTAGGTCTAAATCTAACAATATCCCTCAAGGAATTCTATAAACCTAATCCAAAACCTAAACTTAATCCTAGAAGTAAACTAATCCTAGCCTGACCACCAAAGCAAATCCTATTCTAATCATGGTGGAAAACACAAGCTAGCCTTAATCCTAACCCTAAATCTAATGTCAGTGGAAGCCTAGCCCTGCCTTTAGCAGTAACTCTAACACTATTCCTAAAGCTAAACCTAATGAAACCATAGCCCAAGAGCTAAGTGTGACTCTGAACCTAGCCATAGTTCTGGACCTAGGGCTATCACTAAATTGACACTAGTTTTAACCCTGGTGAACG